GAAAGAGTAATTTTAGAGCCCCAAAACTTTATAGAAGAGTTACTATGGCAAGGACCACATAAAAATGAAAGAAAGCAGCAGTTCTAGTTAAATCTGCTTTACCTAAGGGTTCTGCCTGGTTCGTCTAAATAAAAAGATTCCAGATCTTTTGTCTGGGATCCAGTCCTTGGGTCTTAAATGGCAGCAGTTTCACAGCATCATGAGCACTTCCATAGTGTGCTGATTCTTCCTGGGATTGCGTGTTGAGCAGCAGAACAGCTCCTGGGTCTCTACGGGCATGCACAAGCATGGAGTCAGTTGGTCAGCAGTCAACAGATAGCAGTTGTACAGGCAGCAATAAGCTGCCCCTTCTTTTCTCACATTTGGGCAGTTTCAAATACAAAAATTGGTGCTCTTCTGATTACTCTGTTTCATTGTCACTTGTGGAGGTAGCAGGGAAGAGTTACACTGTCACACTGCTGTGAAAGGGTTGTGGATGGTGCTTAAGGGAGAGGAAGCCTAAAGGCACACTGGAGGTGAGGGCAGTATACTGAGCAATGTCAGGAATGGGGAAAATAGTTCTCTGCAGTCAGCAAAGAGTTTGAGGGAATAAACTTTCTCAAGTTTCCTGGAGGTCTTTAGTCATTTTGTAATAACTTTTCTCCACCCTTGTTTGGCTTATTATTGTTCCCAAAGGCTTGGTAGTAGGTCATCCTGAAAGCTGGTTATGCTCAAAATATGTTTGTAAGACATCTTTGCACATGTAATGAACTGGATGTGTACAACCACTGCATGTGTTTTTCTTTCTCAGCAACAAGGTATTGGTCGGCCAAGCGTATACCATGCGGTGGTGGTCATATTTCTAGAATTCTTTGCCTGGGGGCTCCTGACAACTCCAATGCTAACGGTAAGTATCACTGGTCAGCTGTCATCTTGGCAGTAATGACAAAAGTTAATTTGCTAATTCCTAGGGATCAGGGTTTTAATTTGTTATACACTTCCTGCTTACCTCATTAGCTGAATTCCAGGAGTCTTAACATTCAACCTATACAATATTAGTATACCACAGCTGAGATCTGGACTGCTGAAAGACTAAAAGATAGTGAAAAATAAATTCGCAAAATGCTGTACTACCCTTTTACTTGCCTTTTAGAGTAACATCAGTTTAGTGTATTGATGAAAGTGTCTCTGGAAAATATGGCTTTTTTTTAAGACTTCATAGTTCAATTCATCTCTCAGTCATAACAACTGAATAAATTATGCATCCCGTAGTAAACTCTGTACACTATTGTGGGCTGGGTGTTTTGCCAGCATGGAACTTGAAGTAAAATGTAAAGGCTTTCATGTAAGAAATGGATTTTGTAAGTATTTATTCTGTTCTGGAATGCGGTTATTTTCCAGATGAATAGATAGTTTGAGTGTTTGGTAAAGGACATGAAGCCTTTCGTCTGAAGACGTGGGTCATATTGATTGAAATCAGGCCTGCCTGAGAGAAGTCATCGAAAGTCTGTTAGTCTAGTTTTTCGTCATATATGAGTGCACTTTGAGTACATGACAAGCAAGGTCTTGTGGGATTGAAAGACCTTAGAGTTAGTTATTTTGCTTCCCCAAACTCCAAATAAAATCATCTACATAATTCTTGAAGGGTGTTTGTCTAACCTTTGTAAAGACAATCACTTATCTTTTTAACATAGCTTAATAATAATAAAGTTCATATAAAGAGTTAACAAATTTCCATAAAGTAGACTTCTCACTAAATTACCATCCTGCCATGCTGTCTTGCCAGTGTCAAAATATGGGAAAGCTTATTGGGTGGTTTTTCTTGTTTCTTTTTTTTTCTTTTCTTTTTTTTCTTAACCAAAATGCTCAACTTCAAGTTGCCCTAGCTTCACACTTCTCATTTGAAGGGATAATGTGGAAATAATAATTCTTCTGCAGTCTTCAAAAGAACCTCCAATTTAATAAAACTATGTTAGGTGGGTTCTTCAATGGTGTACTCCTGTTGAAGTAGTTCCATATGAATTTGTACTGTTAATCACATGCAGCTGAAATGATAAATCTTGAAATTAGTATTTATCATTGCACTATGTCTGATGGAACTGTTATGAAATGCTTCTAATCTAAAGCTTAATTCTTATTTTGACTGAAGTATTAGCATTCAGTCATGGTCTTGAATGTCCTGTATTTTGAATGTTGTGTTCCTCTCCTACATGGTCCTGAACACTTAGGAGGTTGTTGCATTGGATTGAAAACTTAATTTAAAAAACTGAGTCACATATAATAGTGTAACTTAACTTGCACAGGTGTAAATGACTTCTGTGTTTTTGGGGATGATCATATTTATTTGTAATCAGCTTTGCCCACACTGAAAGGCTGCTTTTTGCTTTAAATAATTTCAAATCTGATTTGATACTTTGCACCCTTCTGATTTGTAACTTACTTATGGTAATTTACCTTGGCTTGCTGATCAGTCAGCAGTACTAGAAGTCATGTAGAGCTTTCTTATAAGCAAGGTTCAGCCTTTGAACTGCCAGCTGTCCACTTTTGTGCAAGCAGATTTGTCTGGTAGGAAGGGCAGAAATGGAATTGTCTGGCCTGTTGATCAAAGCTCATGATCACTCCATTTTTTTGTGGTTGTGACCTGTGTTTCTCCAGGTCATCATCAACATTCAGATTAAAATGCTGTGTTGTGTATTATCAAAATAAATTGTATGTATTCTACGGTAGCTGAGATTATTCAAAGTTTATTTTTTAGATTACTTTTTCTTTTGACATTTGTCATCAAAGCTGTAATATTTGTTACATGACACTATACTTGGAGACGAAAATATTTATATATAAAGCACGCAAAGGCTATTTTGCTCACAGGCTACCTGAAACTTATACTCATTACTCTTGTTTATGGACTTGTAAGCCAATATTAGTAAATCACCATAAGCAATATTAATCACTTAATGGCATATTCTGTTTTCAATATAATCTTTTTTGAATATGTAAATATTTCTGTCAGTAGAACTTGAGTAAGGCAGTTCCCTCTACCAGTTTGTGAACTGGCATTTCTCTTGTATAAAGTAACAGAAATAAATCTCAAAAGCTTGAACAAATACCAGCAGTGGTTGCCTTCTAGGAAAAATACTGGAAAACACTCCACAGAAAGATAATTAGATTTGTGTCTGTGACCCTCCTCCTTGGGTGGGGTTTTTTTTTTTTTGACTTGAAAGATAGCTGCTTTCTAGATCTCTAATTTAAATCCTGACTTTTTTCTTCACTCATATCATAAGATCAGTGGTCAGCAGGTGCAAAATTGTTTTAAATATGTAAACAGAAGATGAGACCAGAAGGAAAAAGGGGTGTAAATAAGCAGAATTATCTGACCAGTATTTAACACGGGAACAACGATCTTTATTAAACCTTTGATTCGAGAATCTCAGTCATCCTTGAAAAGTGATGCTGATATTTTTCGGTGTCACTGGAGTATTCAGTTTCTTCAGGCTAGTTGCATTCTCAATATGCATATAAATAATTTTTGTAGTTGTTGGCACTTATCTATAGATTAAAAACAGCAAACGAATTTGAAGTCTGTATGCATACACACTTTGATCATTGCAATAACTTTTTTAATCAACACAGTAGCACCTGTGAGGCCTTTTAACTCTCTTGCATATTTATGGTAAATCTGTTTAGTATAGATTAACATGCTTGCCCTTGAATTAAGACTGCTGGTAAAGCACCTTAAACGAATTCACAGCTGTACTTAAAGGATACATGGAACACTCAGAACTGTTGCTAGTATTTAAAAGCATCTACTACTTCATCAGAAGTGTTTCTAACTGTATGACTACGACGTATCTGCAATTTGTTCAGAAACAGTTTTCACAGTGTCTTTTTGGGCAGTTGTGAATATAGCACTGTTTTTTTTCCTTGACTGAGTAACTTTAGCAGAATCTCATTTTCCCTCCTAATTAGTAACAATGATTGAGTCAACCTTTTGAAGGAATTTTCACCCTCCAAAATTCTGTGATCTGTACTGCATGGAGATGCTTTTTGCTTACATTGATCTCCTTTCTGAGCAAAATACTCCCAACGCAAAACACCCGCAGTACAGTGCAATCTGTGCCAGCATAGGAATTTATGCCAATAAATTGATATTAAACTTTGTCAATATTTTCTCATGAAGAGAAATAAGAGTATAATTCTGGGATGAGATACTTTTTTTAACAAGTCCCAGTAGAGCTATCTGGTTTTACAAATCAAATTTAGACTTTGAATCGACTTTCTCCTGTCTCTGCTGATTCAAATAATGTTGGTGGTTTTTTTCCATCAGGTCTTACATGAAACATTTTCCCATCATACATTTTTAATGAATGGTCTTATTCAAGGTGTTAAGGTAAGATTTTTTTTAAAACCTCTGACCTAAAGTTTCTGTGTGTTGGGGTATTGTAATTTGTCTCACCTGCATTCTCCCTAAGAACATCCAAAACACTGAAAATGTAATTAATTCTTAAACCGTTTTTCTGTTGTAATGATTGTGTTCTTGGGCTCAGTTCAAGATATACTGCTAAATAGTAGCATCTTGAAACAAGTGGAGTATTTCTCAGAACTTTAAATTCCTCTTATTTGAATAGGTATCAGTGGTAGCTATTGTAATCTTGATAAGGATTCCTCAGAGAATGGAACTAGGTTTTTAATGTCTGCTTCTTAATGTTAGATGATTTCTATCAAAAGCAGATTAATGCAGCCATGATGATACCATTGAGATAAAAAGTGAAGCACTTAAACACTGATTTTGTCTAAGATGCAGTGTACAAGCTAATTGTCCACAGGATTGTTTATTTTTCTTTTCCTGATTGTTTTTTGTATGAGTTTTTGAGCATTCTGTGACAGTCAAGATATTCAGGGCAGCCTACAGCTTGTTTACACCGCTGCAATCACACAGTGGTCATGCTGTATTGTTGCCATAAAAAAAAATGCTTGCAAAATTTCTCTAGCATAATTAATACTTGAAAGTCTCTCCTTTGCTAGCTTTCTTACTGAGAGGCTTCAAACCATTTAGTGTAACTTCTGACTAAGTTAATTTATAGCACCCAGAAATTACTTAGCTTTGTATTCTGTAACAAATCTGAAGTGTTGTTTTTAGCTGTGAGAAAATGATGTCTTTATAGGATGGACTTGCTGTTTTGGTATCTTTCATGGTGGATTGACAGAACACTATGCACTAGAGATGTCAGGATGTCTCAAACTGAAAGAGGAAGCTTACTTTGCATTGTTCTCTTAGAAAAACAAAGGTCATGTTCCTCTTGGTGTTTTCTTTCACCTCTGTTCACAGTGCAGTGTAACTGTGAGTATCACTTAAAAGTAGTGGAGAGTTCCCTGTATATTTTCTACAGAACATATCTGTAGAACAAGTGCATTAATATCATGGTCTAAGTGTGTGTTTTGCTCTAACAGTTGTAATAAACAGGGGAGCATAGATCAGAGTGAACTTGTACTTCAGCGTCCAGTATTACCTTGAAAATGCTGCTCATGAAAGATAGAAAGTATTTTGGGCGACAATTAACGAACATGCTAGTTTATATTCTACTGAAATCTGATTCCAGGGGACCAGAACATACATTTCAACTAAGACATCTAACTTTCCTAGGATCTGGTGGTCTGTCTTTATAGTTTTTGCTGTCAAAAATTGAGATTTACTTACTGAAATCATTGGCATCAGAGTTGTTTATTGGGATTTGCAGAAGAGTGATTTAGTATAGTAGTCTGTACAGATATGTTAAACTTGAAGTTGACTATATTTGAATACCAGAGATTAGCTAAAGTAAGCTGGAGTAGATTTCCAGTGTATTGAGGAGCTTACAGAACCCAGTGTATTTGTTGAATTTGTGGCACAGTTGGATTGATGAGAGAACAATATACTGATCAGGAGGAAGGTGCATCTGTTCTGGAGGTTTTGCGGTTAATAGATCTGAGAAAGGCTCTGCTTATTTTAATTTTTCTGTGTGATACAGAACAGACCTGAGGCCTAGATTCTAGGACTTTATGAAATGCAGAAAAATCTAGTATTTGATTCTTGGTCCTTAGTCAATTTTTTCCATGACAACTGTGCCTGTAAGTCTGACCTCTGCCACTGGAATATCACTATGGTGTTCCACTGTCTGAGGCTGTCAAGCTTGCTCAAATGGTCCTCATAGTTCCTGCAATGCACAAATGTCCTGTACATGATAAACATGTAGTATAAAGCAGTAAGTGTTCTGTTTAGTTTCAGAGAACAGATTACCCAAAACTCTCCCTTAGGACAGTCCAAATTAAAGGGCAGTTTGGGTTTGGGATCTAGTACTAAGTCTCGTGATAGAGGCTAAGATGTCCTTTGTGAAACTAGACTGTAGATTCTGGAGATTTTAAAGAAGCTTTTGTCGTATTTCTATATTGAATCAAATTGATCATATAAAAATGCATGCCTCTTGTTTTGTTTGGGTGGGTTTTTTTTTTAATGCACTCATGGTTAATAGATTTGAAACGTAAAACATCAGAATCACAGAAAATTAGACTGTAGAAGAAATTGTGTATAATTCCAGTTATCTACAATTTTGTTTTTAATTTCAAATCAAATTGCAATTTTAGTCCCTTTTTTTATAGGGTGATTAAAATGAAACTTGGAAATGTAGATATAGACATATTAATTGTTTTTCTTCTGTCACAGGGCTTTTTGTCCTTTTTCAGTGCTCCGCTAATAGGTGCTCTATCCGATGCATGGGGAAGAAGATCTTTTCTTCTTCTTACAGTTTTCTTCACCTGTGTCCCAATTCCATTAATGAGAATAAGTCCATGGTAAGTGGTACAGATTACAGTAGTGAGCTTGCCAGTACAGCAGAAATTCAATCAAAGGAGTAGTTTGGGGAAATGGGAGAGGGACAATAAGACAAGAGAAAGCCACTTTCCTTTCAAGATGTGATTGCATTATTCTGGAGCTTTTCTGCTTAAGAGGTGTTAAAACTGTGTATCTTAAAAGTAGAAATTACGGAATGTGATTTAGTTACTTCATTCACACAAGTATAATGGTAATTTAAATAGTTTGATAGCCCCGTCTAACTCAGTTTTAAGCTCAGCTGTTGATTTTTTTCCCCCTGAGGACTGACAGCCCTGGAATAAACATACTTTGAAGCTAACTGAACCTTAGAATTTATTGACCAAAGAAAAGTATAATTGCTGCAAATGAGATCTTTTAACTCTTTGATTAGGCAACTTTGAAGTTTTAACTGAGTGGAATTGACTTGGTTTCAGTTTCATTTACATTCTTTGTGAAACTTAGGAGGATTACAAAAGAACTTTGTGTACACTGAGTGCATTCAGAGTTCAGCTTCCGAAGCAGCACATATGACAGTTTATTCCTTAACTGGTTGAGAAATTGAGTTCTAAGATAATTCCTTTTTCATAACTTAAACTTGCTTCACCTTTGAGAATGTGCAAATGTATAGGTACCATGATCTGAAGGGACCATTTTTTTTTAGGCTGACATAAAGTAAACAGAGTATAAAAAAATTAAAATGCTGTTTTTCAATATTTAAGTGAGACTGCACAATCATTCATCTCCATTTAAGCTCTATGTTAAGTTCTTGAGGAACACTTCTCATAGATTAAATACAAACTTGTTTGATTAGTAAAAGCAAGAGGTCTTAGCTTAAACTTTCTAATTGTTGCTTTTAAATCATTAGGTGGTACTTCGCTATGATTTCGGTATCTGGAATCTTTTCTGTTACCTTTTCTGTAATATTTGCCTATGTAGCTGATGTAACACAAGAACATGAAAGAATTACAGCCTATGGACTGGTAAGATACGCTAAACTTGAAAAAAGGTCAGATTATAACCTTTGTATTGAGCTTGTGTTTTGATGCACAAATTGTTTCCTGGTTAATGTAATGAGGTTGATAGAGAAAGGAGTAAACCGTGCATCAAGGCATTGAGTTAAGAGTTTGGGAAATCTAATTTAGACTTTTTACTGCTGCACATACTGCTCTGTCTATGGGAACAGAATAAGAATTTGACAACTTTACCTGCACAGAGGGCATGTATAACAAAACATGTTTTACGTTTCACAGGCAGAACAAGGAAAGTTGTTAAAGGCAATGAAAATTATTTAATGCTTGATCTGGCAATATCTGGCACTTTTAGTTTATGTGATTTCTTTTTAATATAGAATGGCTTTTTCCATAGTCAAAATAGGCAGGAAGGGTGAAAATGCAGAATGCAGTATTTTTAGTAACTTAGTCATGACCTTTCTTGATTAGCAAGAGAAGAGGAAAATAGTTCAGTTAATACAAACTAACCTTTCCAGTAATAATATAATTCCTGCTTAGTTTGCTTTCCTGAATATCTGTATTGGTTTATGTTTTGTAGGCCCTTGATAGATGTCCTTAGCCTTTGAACATAATTTATCTCTTCATGCTCTGTGCATCTGTTTTCATTATACAGATATGCATGGACTTGATTCTTGGCTGACTGTACTGTACTTCAAGCTCTTAAGGTTTCCCTTTAATTTTAGCCTCAGGGACTCAGATGTTGATTTAACAGTTCAGAAAATAAAGGATTTAGTTCTCCTGAACCAAGCTTGTGTGTATTGTTGTGGCAGAACGCAAAACAGGTTTAAAAGTTCCCACTTTATTTCTCGTACCTGTAAAAATGGCCATAAGTATATTTGGAGTCTATATTTGCCTTCCTTCAAACAGTTTTTTGTTAACAGAAACAGCTTGATCTAAAATTCTATAAAGTGCTAGACAAAAGTGCACTTGTCTTGATGAGGTCTGTATCTCTTTCTAATCAGTTTGTTTGTTACACCTTTTCCTTAGGATTTTTTTCTAGCTTGGTATAAAGCTAAATTTCTAGCTGGTGTTCTTACTTATTTTATAAAATATTATGCAAATTGTTTTTATTTTGGGGACTGGAAAAGAGTAGTAATTAAAAAAACCCAAACAACCTAGCTGTATTCTAACCTGTTCTGATGTTTTTTTATAGTGAAATTTAACTACAGCATTTGATTTTTCATCATGTTCTGCTGTATGTGAGTATAGTAAGTGATCTGTTGGTAGCTGCTTGTCACTACAACGTAGTGAGACGCAATGCAGTAGTTGTTGTTGTCACAGCTAATGATCTCCCAGTACGCTGTGCTATCCAGTGATAGCTATGTATTTAAAATGCAAACTGTTAACAAAGACATTATGTATTACTCTGCTACCTGGAGTGCTGAGGCTCAGGTTCACTTAGGCAGGCACTTAAATGTGCTGACAACTTTTTCAGTGAAGTCTCATCAAATTCGTAATTGGAAAACAAAAACCACTTTAGTGTATCTGAAAGCAAGTGCTGTTTTCCTTTGAGCCAAACCCACTCTTTGACTGCAAATCCTGTCTTGTATGGTGGCGGTTGGAGAAACTTTATTTGGACCTGTATTTAGTGTCATAAGTGATATTTTTTTTTTTTTTAGTCTTAAACTTTGGCTGGTGTTGTTTTAAAACCACACTTCTGGGAAGGGGTGGTGTGGTTAAGCAAGTTACTTCATTTTTCTGCAATGGCAGAATAACCACTTTGACAAGTTTGTAAACTGTTCTTGTGCATAGGTATCTGCCACCTTTGCAGCAAGTTTGGTAACTAGTCCTGCCATTGGAGCATACCTGTCTGCTAGGTACGGAGATGACCTTGTTGTACTAGTGGCCACGCTGGTGGCTGTTGTGGACATCTGCTTCATCCTGCTGGCTGTACCAGAATCTCTGCCAGAAAAAATGAGACCTGCTTCATGGGGAGCTTCTATATCATGGGAACAAGCAGACCCCTTTGCAGTAAGATACACTTCCATAAGCAATTAATAAATAGTTGATGATTAATTAATAATTAATTTCATTTTATAAGCTTGAAAGATCTTTACTGTTATTGGTAGAGTGCCTATTTAGTATACTATAATCTCTGTTCACTGTTCTTTCACGAAAAGATCTAGCTACATTTAAAAAACAAACCAAATTTTGTGTATTAAATGATTCTTGAATTGGAAACAATGTTTGGTGTGAAGTCCAAAGGGAAAATGCTTTACTTTTCTAACTTTCTCTATTTTACTGTAAGAGAAATGCTAAATTCTTATACTGCTACAGACCCCAGAAGCTGATGTTGTAAGATTTTTCCATATTCATTTTATGCTTTGTCCTTTTGGTTGGTAATATCTCTCCCCACTCTGGAATTCTACTTTTGGTTATATGTGATTTTTTAATATAGAGTGGATCTATAAACCTGACTTTTCTACAGGCATATATAGGAAGGATTAAAACATACCATGCAGTCTTTCTAGTAACTTGTTCTCGTAATTCACACTCAGCTTATTTGTGTTTGTGTTACACCTTGTTATCTTAAGAGAGGAAAAAGTGATTGTTCTTCATGACATCCATCCTGCTGGGAACTGGTTGTGAATATTGAGAGATGAGTAACATGCTTGAAAGACTGCAATTAAAGAATTTGTTTTCCACAATGTATTTATTACTCAAACTGATTCATATAAGGGTGAAGAAGTATAAGAAATGTACAAGGAAAAATGCTCACATCATTTGGGAAGAGAAACAGTTGTAATGAGTTGTGATAATGTATTATTTGCTAGTATCTCTCAGATTATTATGGAGATCAATTCAAAGATATTATGCATTTCCCTAAATATTATATGATGCTGTTTTCATTGAGTACTTGTAATTTGGCACTGAACAGTAACTTCAGAAATCAAACAGAAACTTTGCAGAAGAATCAGATACCACAAACCTTATATAACAGGGGATTGTTTCTACCTTAATGTTCAGCTTAACAGTGTCCATGTGGGTTTTTTTGGTTTTTTTTTTATTTGTATGCCTGGGTAAAAATGGATTTTAAAAAAGTGAATCCACCTTCTTCTTGCTTTATGCTTTCATTAGACTTTGTATAAATGTTGCAATACTTGTTTTGTTTCTTTGTTTTACAGTCTCTGAAGAAGGTTAGAAAAGATTCTACAGTCCTCCCGATCTGCATTACAGTGTTTCTCTCCTATCTGCCTGAGGCTGGCCAGTATTCTAGCTTTTTCCTGTACTTGCGACAGGTAAATGTTGGTGTCTTCACCTCTTACTGAGGCTGTTTAAATGACTATTCCGAAGACCTGTTTCTTGTTGAAGACTTTGCTCAGAAAACTGCTTTCTGGCAAAATACAGACTTAAAAAATAAAGGCAGGGTACTTTGCTAAGCCAAGAACTGAGTAACATTTTACTCCTGATGCATAAACCCTGCCATAGCTTAAGCATGTGTTCATAAAGTTGAGGAGACCTTTGTTCTCCTTCAGTGCAGTGGGTTTGTATGTCTCGAGGTGGGATCTTGCCCCTTGAAGAGCTATTGTGTCTGTGGCACAGGATAGAGAACTTCAATTTTCAGATACATGACTTCCTGTGTCTCCTTTTTTTAAGGCAGCTTGGTTTTTTTTTCTTGTGTGGATTTCTTGGCAAGCAGTCAAGATAAGGATTATTCTCAAAAACGGACACTTCCTGTATGGATTTAGATTATAAGCGGGGATCAGTGTTTTCTTTGAAGATGTTACCTCTTTGGTAGTGATTGTCCTGGATCGCGTTTAGCATTTGTTTTATGCATTTTCTGCTTCTCTTCAGATTATAGGTTTTGGATCTGCTAGCATTGCAGCATTTATAGCTGTGGTAGGCATTCTGTCTATAATAGCTCAGGTAAGCTTTATGCTTTTTAGTGTTTTGTTAAACAGTACAAACTGATTGCTGAGGGCATGCTCTCCTGACTGTTAAGCTTGTCTATAAACTTCTTGCATGCTTTAAAATGCCAGTCTATCTTGCATTTGCTAAAGGCTATATTCATATGTAGTCTCTGTAAATGTCTTCCTTTAAATCTGTTCTCTTTAGGAATACTGGACCTGGGCATCAGAAAATGAAACTAAAATTTGCTAAGCTTAGATCAGTAAATTTACTGGAATTCTGGCTTTAAATGATAAAATGATGTAGGAAATTGGTTACTTAATGCACAGCCTTCTGAAAGGGAAATGTGATACTTACTTTAAGCAAAAGTCATGCTACTTGCACCTATTTGGTTGGCTTATGCTATCAAACTTGTGTAGAAATGATGCAGGTATTGGTATGATCTGTCCAGGGTTACTTAGGCTCAGCATGGAGACTGAGGAGTGTGAGGCCCTGGTATGTTGCTTTCATAGCTCTTAACTTGCAACACTGAGCTGGTGCTTGGACAGAAAAATTTGATTTAGAAATCAAACAGTTGTTATGATCTTTGGTATCTTTATGGGTACAGTTTGTCTTCCTGTTGTGATAACAGGAAGAGGAATGGCATGTCTGATGTGCTGTAATCTTGTTACCATCTTTAGGGGAGTGGAGGTCTCACTGTTTTGATGTAAACAGCACATTCCTCAATGTTTACCAGTTTTACTGGTGTCAGTTGTGTCCTTCATTATCAATATGAATTGTTATTTTAATTCTTGCTCTCTGGTTTGTTCTGATGCTTTAATATTCACTGACATTTGCCAGTCATACTTTATTCAGAACGGTATTTTTGCTAACAATATCTAAAATGGCTGTCCTTCTGGTTCATCATTTTCAGTGTTAAAATGAGGAAACGCTGCACTGATTTTTGAACTCTTTGAAGAGCGCAGCTTATTGAAATAAGCTTTGCTTTGTAAATACTGATTTGTGTTGGCATGTTAGATATCTCCAGAAAGAACTGATCAGGTGTAGATAGAATTACTGTATTTTTTCTATTTAGCTTTCAAATTTGATTTGTCTAAAAAACCCAAGAAAACTAGTGTAAGACGTACATGAGAGAGGACACGTCCTCTGCTCTGCAGTCCTTCTGGTTCCTTTTATCTGGCTTTTTACTGGTACATTGCTGAGTTTCTTATGTTAAAGAAAAATGTATGCACTGTTAACTGAATGAAATTGTCTATGGACTTTGCCTTACTAGGAGCAGTCTCCTTCTTGTCCTGAGTGTATTGCTGGTGTATCTGAATTGGGACCTCCTTCCCCCTTGGCAGTAACACTTCTAACAGATGAAAAACAGTGGTCTTCCTTTAGGGTTAGTTTCCATGTGCAAATTGGAATTGGCCTTGGCCAAATTTCAGTGCATGTCATGAAGCTGCAAAAGCAGCAGGATTTATGTGTTGGTTTTAGTTGTAAATTTGGGTAGTAATTCACCTGACCTAAAAAGATTATTTTTCTCTGAGCTAACAGTCTTTTTTTCTCTCTAGTATTTGTAGATACTGGTAAATTCAACCCGTATCGTCCTTGTAGTATTTTGACAAAATACCAGCATTTATTGTGGAGCTTTCTAGTCTATAATGAAACAGAATTGTATAGGTGGAAATGAAAGCCTGTTCACAGTAGAAACAGACACTGAGATATAATGTCCATAGAGAAGGCAATACATATGTTTCTCCAAGTCCTGAAATAGAAACTCTTTAATAGTTAAGAATGTCAGTACATGAAAAATTGGTATGACCAATCTGCATTGTAGACTTAATACAGGGGAAGTAAGAATATGAACAGTGTGAAGTTCCTCAGCGGTTGAAAAGTCTTCTGAATTACTTTGTGTAGAAGGAGTAATTATGTTAGCAAACTGGCTTTTAAAAATAACTTTTGGATCAACCAATTTCTCTTGCAGACTGTGTTTCTCAGTATCTTGATGAGGTCGATAGGGAACAAAAATACAGTTCTCCTTGGCCTTGGCTTTCAAATCCTTCAGTTGGCTTGGTATGGTTTTGGATCTCAGTCTTGGTAAGCACACATTTTCATAGGTACATACCTGTTAAGGAACTGAAAATGTTTTTCCAATAAATTCTACCATTAGTTCTGTTGTCATGAGTATTTAAATGTTCTATGAATTAAGCATTCTCATTTGCATTACACTACCAATGTTTAGTCTGTATTTTGTAGATGTAGGGATAGAATTTTCCAGGCATATAGTGTAAATTGCAGACTAACAGCCCTTTTGAAAAAGGACTCTTTGCATCATTTTGGTCCGCTGAGTTTTATGTCTACAAATGTGATTAAAACTTTTTCTAAACTCACAAGCTAATAAATAGTAAGTTCTCCAGTAATTCCACTAGATCCATTCTAATCAGTTACTGGACCCCTACTTTATTCTTTTTTTTCCTAACATGTCATTTTCTTACTATAACTGTAGTTATAGAGCTTCTCTTGCTGGAAAAACAGTCTGTAAGTAAAGTGAACTAGAACTGTAAGCTGGAACAGCATTTTCTTTACAAACTTTGTCCTACTGGCAGTGATGAATGCTTGTTCTTTATCAGAGCATTTCCTTGTGAATTATACAAGTTAGAGAACCGCCTCACTGGGCCACCCTGTGAAATTGTTGCTTTGTACAGCTTTTGGACAAGGAAATCACTTCTTTCCCATACCCTTCTTTTCCTCTGCTGTAATAGCTAGTGTAAAATCAGATGCGTTTCTATTCCAACAAGCTCAGGGTGGTTTGTGGGAGGGCAGCAGGAAGAAGGCCCATACCAGATAATTTCCAGTCTTTAGGTATTTTAATATGAGTACTTTCGAAAGTACATTAAGCCTGAAATGAGGGTAGCCTTGTGGCCCTTTTTGGGGGGGTGGGCAGTAATTATGTGGGCAGTCTCATTTTTAATTCAGATTATGCATTTAACTCAGGATGATGTGGGCAGCAGGAGCTATAGCAGCAATGTCAAGCATTACATTCCCAGCAATCAGTGCTCTGGTTTCACGAAATGCAGAGTCAGATCAACAAGGTGAGTATTGAATTAATTTCTGTTTCAGCATCAGACTGAGTCTTGGATGACTCTTCTGCCTAGAAAGCAGAATTCTTCTCTAGGTGTACTTTTCAAATGTGTTGATGAGTGATGAGTTTCTTTGGTGGTAGCTGTGGACGTCTGCTAATCTAGAGAGGAAGGATGTGCAGAAGTTTATCAGATTTGCATTGCAGAATACATAGTTTCTGTCTGACCAGCTACTTCTCTTCAAGCTTCCTCTAAAAGTACTGCAAAAGCAACAAAACCAGAAGTGGTAACTTTCATGTTTTTTCCTTCTTTTTTTTTTTTTTCATTAAGAATAATATTTTCTAAGTAGATAGTGAGCATTAATGTAACAATACGGTCTTTTTAATGGAAGCTAAAACCACATCTTACCAGATTAAAATAAGCCTATACAAGAAACTCTATTCTGTGTGGAAAAGTTGGCCCTGTTTCCTATAATACTTCAGATGTTCAAGGAGTAGAAAAGAAAGCTGAAGTAAATAGTTGATCTCAGAAGACAGAAAAAATCATTGGTTTTGATGTGAAGGGTAATGAACAATCAGAAATAACTCTTCATTTAAAATGAAGTGAAGGAAGGAGTCATCATAAAGTACAACTTTGTCGTATAATAACTGAATTTAGTGTTTTCTTTTAAAAAAGAACTGTATGTATAAATCGTAAGTATCAGTCCTGCTTTAATATTGTACAAGTTGAAGTTATATAATGGGAGGTACAAAGGATGTGCAGTTCTAGGAGGCAAATTTCTATTAAACTTGAAAGGTGCAAAAGACAGTATTTTACATGGCTCGCTTTATCATTCCCCTCTCCTCCATTTTTTGTTCCCAATAGAGACATTTAAAAGAGTTTTAAAAAACTTGCTTTTTATTTATGTCATGAAATGAAAACTGGACAGAAGTCATTGATCTTTCATTTTACATAGAGGAAACTACTGTTAATAGCTCAGGCATACAGTAATTTCTAGAGTGAAGTTTTGCCACCTAGTGGCACAAAGATTTTAAGCTTGCATGTCAACATACACAGAAAAAACTTGGACAACTTTTTTTGGCATGTTTTCTTCCCTTCCATTTTACAAGTTACTGCCTTAAGAAGGAAGGGGATATGGGGACTACTCCTACTGTAAAAATAGTGTTCTGTAGAATCTTAATCTGTAAGATTGCCAGAAATCTTTTGTCATAATCACTTAATGAAGTTGAAACAGAAATACACCCACAGATCTTAATCAAGCTTTTAAAATCTAATGTAAAACTGCAACCAATCCAATATTGTGAATTTACTGTAGTACTTCTGAATTTACTGCCCTGAATAAGCTACTTGGTATTTAATAAATAAATTCTGGTTTTAGACTGGTGAAGGGAAGAAATCTATTACAATTTGAGCATATTTTGCCAATAACAACCCTTAACACTTAGATAAATTACTCTATATTTCACTTGAAAATAAATTGAACAGGTACCACACTTAACCTCTGCTTTCTTCATTGCAGGCTTTGGGTGACAGTGGAAGAACACTAACACAGAAAATTAGACTTGTACATAAATTTAGTCACTCATATTCAAAACTCATATTGCTTCCAGTAGCATGCAAGTACAGTGAAAGAACTATGGTGATGCAGAGGATTATTTCAGTCCAGTTGTCTTCAATGTATTTCTTAAGATCTTAGTATGCAGAAGTAATTATGAGATGTGCTATTTCGGAGCAGCCATTAGAATACACTCAGAGCTGTTGGCTCTGAGTTTTTCATTCTTGATTAAAAAAAAATAAATCTACTCTTTTTTTTTTTTTTTATTATTATTAGGTGTTGTCCAAGGAATAATAACTGGAATAAGAGGTCTGTGCAATGGCCTGGGACCAGCACTGTACGGCTTTATTTTCTTTCTCTTTCATGTGGAGCTCAATGAATTGCCACCTGATCAGACTTCTGGAAAAAAAGCAATGCAAGATCCCAGTGATGAGGTAAGTTTCAAATTTGGTGTGAAGTTTGCAGCGTAGAACTCAATAAGGGAAAAATCTATCACTTTTGATTGATTTAAAATCTTGATATCTACTTCTTGATCTACTTAATTCTCATGTGTCAGCTTTATCAGACTATTAAGATAGCTCATAATTTAAATTTGATAGTACATATTTAGATTTACAGTAGTAGCAGCTTTGGTTTCAGTTTTCTAACGGAACTGGTTAACTGCTTTTGATATAAATCTACTCAAACCAGCTGTAATCCTGAATTACAGTGGAACGTGAAATTTTCATAATAGGAAGGTCATTTTTGGTAACTCAGTAAATTGTAACAAGTTTATCTTTGAACCTCACAGCAGTAGGTTAATTATTCACATATACAGTAATTCAGTATACAGCTGAGGTATTTTTTTTTTTCCAATGGCAATAACAATGCTGTTCATCACCTTTCCTTACCTGTATGAAACTTGGCAGGGAGGGGAGAAGTCAATCCTGTACAACATTACTTTGGAACTCCCTTCAGACTTTTCTGGTATCCCTTCCATCTTTGTTTCAGGTCTGCATTTTTGTCTGCTTTGTTCTTTCCGTCTTGGCTCCAAGATACCAAATACATGGTTACCAGAGTTTGGAGAATCTTACGGACCTTTTTTGCTTTTTAGCTTGATTGCTCTGACGTCTTCAGCTACAATTCCATTGCTTTTTCAAAATACTAAGACTGGACTTTTCAGAGAGCTGATGATCTCTTAGCTTGTCATTAATCTGAGTTCTTTCTTAATCAGCTTAGCCAAATATGTAAATAACTGGTGGCTGTTACTGTGGAAACAACTGTTTGTTGTTCATCCCCCAGTCCGTGCATCTTTCCAGGTATTAACTTTAACCAGTGCTTGAACACATTGCTCTCTGCTCCATAATTTTTTCAAGCAAACGGAGTAGAATTTTAGAGTAAATGGGCAAAGACACAAAAAAGGAAACATTAATAAGATACAAGAAAAACTTTATAGTCATGATTTTGGGTTTTAAAGAACTTTGTCATGTTTTCACTAGTTAAAATTTCACTCTTGAACTCTTGTTTTTTAAAACATTGAAGCACGTAAGTTTTTCTTGAGGGCAGGGAGCGTGTTGGCTTTTTGACCTTGTACACATATTTGTGTTACAAGTAATGTCAGTATGTTCTGTTACTTAAAGAATACCCATATGTTCTTTTTGTTGTTGAAGTAACCCAGATGTACTACAGTGGAGCAACTGACTGTTCCAGTAAATAAATGCGTCAAAACTTATGTTGTGGAATGTTCTAAAGCTTATGGTAGAAGAAATTCCCGTGCTGAAGCCTAATGTATGAGCTTCCTTATAAAATAATGATTTTTCTAAGCTGTAAGTGTAAATGAAACCGTTGTTTCAGATGCCCTTGTTTTCTTGAAATCCTACTTAATAAATATGTAGGCATTATTTTTTAGTTAACAGTACAGCAAAATCAGTAAGTATTTGCATAACTAAGATTGCTTTTTATTCTAATTTCAGCGTGACTGCTCTTATGTTTAATTGTGTGTGTACTCATAAGCTTTGTTAAATGTCTGTAATTACATCTGTCCCTGTTAATAGTTACCAGGCACCTAACACATCAAATTATCATTCAGGAAAATAACTGTACAGTTTTTTTCCTACTAATTCTTATGTTCAAGTCTAATATAACAGTGGGAAAGAACTCCACAATTTAAACATTATATAGCTTTAAAAATTCACCTGAGTAAAATGACTGGAGGTGAAAACCAGGGAATGCACCAAGATTAAACAAGGAAGTTAGCAAATGTGTACAAGCCTAGCTTACAACACTGGTGCTAATAACTTGGATTTTCAAGGCCCAAACACAATCTGCCTGTCTTTTGATTTTGTTCAGTGTTTTAAATTGAAAACTAGGAGTTGCATTACAGATATATATATATTTTGAAAAAGGTTTTCTTGATTTTATTAAATACTAATAAATGTTCTCCAAGAAGCTTTTTAATAACAAGTTTAAATGTTCAAGTACCTTGTTTTAAAGTTACTGGATGTCTGCGGAACTGCAGTTAGCTGGTAGAAATTGTTTGAGTCGTGAAAAGCATTATTAGTTGGTTTTGGGTTGTTTTTTTTAAGCATAAACTTGTATTCTACTCCTGCTTGTCAAAAGCAATGAGTCTATAGGAGCTCAACTGAGAATGCACTGTTACTGTGCTGAACCTTGATCAAACTCAGTGTGCTGTTGAGGTGAATTCAAAGCAGCTCTTCCTCCTTTGTTTCTACTACTGTAATACCAGTGTTACTTCTACTACAGGAAATAGACTTTTAAGTTGCTGTCAGAAATAGTTTATTTAAATAGTTATTGTTAACAGTATTAATGAAGAATGAATTTGTGTAACTTTTGACACACTTTACTTTGAAAGCTGTCTTGTCCCATTTAAAAAACCAAACTTTTTTACCTTAACTAGTGAAAGCTGATTATTGTCATAATTTAGTAGTGTACCTTTCAGATATAGTCTTCTGTGTTCACTGATGGACAGCGTGCTAAAACAAATTGTTAGATATAATGGGTTTGTAAACCTTCATATTCAAACAGTGGTGACAGGAAAGTCTGGATGCAAATTTCAGTTATTTAACATGTAAAGTAAAGGGAGGAAAACACATCCTCCTAGTGGTCGTTTCTGGTGTTTTTTTAAACAATTCAAACTTAATTCTTGTCTTTTTTTGACTTGCCTTTAAGTATTCATTTGTATTGCTGTAGAGGATTTAAGAATAGGATTTTACTGAATATCACTTTTTTTTCTCTTGTGGGAGAGCTGCAATATTACCACAGATCACAGTTGTGATTTCTCTTCCATCAAAGAAAAGATCTGATGCACCTATTGAAGAAAGATTGTGTATCTACTCTGCAGAGCATAAATAGTAGAAATTAAGCATATCTGACTTAATTCCCATTTAAATAACTTTATTCAAAACCAGACAGCCTAAAGAGGAGAGTAAGATTGCATCATTATAATTATCCACAGGGAGTGCTTACAGCAAACAGTACAGTCTTAGGCTGTGTTTGGAGAGTAATAATAACGCTTGGCAATGCAATGAGCTCATACTGCTTTTCAAAACTTTTTTCTCCCTTCAGTGAAACTGCAGTAGTGGAATATTCAAAAGCTGCTGAGATAAATCAGCTGTTACACTATAAATGATGATACTAATTTATGGAAGTTTACTACATTCTTTAAGTACCTGTGGGCTTAGCACCACTTAAAGATTTAAGTAATATTGTTAATATAAATTCTGTTAATATGATTATATACTTTAAATTTAGAAACCATCAGCTGAAAAATTAGGTCTCTAACAAGAGTTGAAGCAAGGGAAATATCCTGCTATTGTATGTTTAATTTTAGCTACTTTCCCACTTCATATTAGAATAACTTCCTCCATTTCATTTGGTAGGAAAAATCTACACTGGATTGACAAGTTTCATCTTCTGATTTTTTATTTAGTTTTAGTTGACAAAAATACAGAAAAGTTGTTTAAGATTAATAAAAAAGTTGCTGGATTTCTGACACTTTTGTAGAGTTTTGTCATCAAACTTAGCTGGTTTAAAATCAGTCTTATAACTTTTCTAGTGCTTGTTTTTAATTCTCTGCAGTAAGAGCAGTATGTACTGCATGGCCTGCTGTTACTTTCCTCACTCATATATTAGTTTTTGGGGATGTTTGTTTATTCAACTAACTTGATTCTCAAGTGTGTCAGCCACGGAAGCAAATGGAAAAAGTGAAGTTAAGTTAAAGATTTATTGAGCATTTGTACTTCTGGATGTTAAAACCTTATCCTATTGATCTTCAGAGAACTCTTGCTGATTTAACAGGCATGTTGCCTAAAGGAAAAGAAAATTACAAAGAAGCATCAGTCTGTCTGTTTCATCTACTAGGCAGTCCTGTTGTCAATTGATAGTTTTGTGCATGATTTTTTTTTTCCCCAGATCAGTGTGCAGATCATGTGAGGAATTTTTAAGGATTGTAGATGCAGAAAATCCATGTTGCAGTGCACATATGAACTTGCTTGCATAAACTTTATAGTCACTGTAAATGCGTCTTGCCTTAATGATATAGTTCTTACTGCAGAAGTCAATGTCTAAAACTTAATGAATTCTTTGATATGCTTGTTTCCCTGCAGAGAGCAATCATTCCTGGTCCACCCTTCCTGGTTGGAGCATGCGTTGTTCTTCTGGCTTTTCTAGTTGCCTTATTTATTCCTGAGCACAGCAAAGCCAGCAGTACCAGGAAACACAGTAACAGCATCAGCAGTACTCTGAGTAACAGCCAAGACCGAAGTAGTGAAGAGGACATTGAACCATTGCTGCAAGATAGCAGTGTATGAAGGATAACTGCTCATGAGACTATGGAACAAACCCACACACTGAATTGCAGCTTTGGAAGCTTGATGCGATGTGCAGAGTGCCTGGCCTCTGAAAGGAAAGCAGCTGTGTGCGAGGGAAGGTTACATGCTGTGTGATACTTGAGGTTGATACTGTGCGTGCAGAAGGGTTTGTTTAGCATGGCAGGTCACAACTAGGTCTGATTTGACCCAATATTGGACTGCAAATGTGACCTCAAATCCTGGTATTAGGTAGAAACCCAAATATATAGACATAATGGAATTTTTTTTTTTAAATTTGAATGTTCAATCCCAAAGTTGTATGCAAAATAATCAGGTTTGAGGCAGAACAGTTTCTGCCACCGTTAAAAGTTGTTTTGCGTTTCTTAGGCCTTTTGTCTGCATGTATGCCACATGTAGTCCTCATGATGTGATAGGGACTGATATATATAGTTCTCGTATCTGAAATAGTGGTTATCAATAAAAGTACACATTCTCAAATATTACTTAGTAATGACACATCCAGTAGTTACCAGAAAGCATTAATGAAACAGAAATGACTTCTGAGGGTGTATGATCACACATGACAGTCATTACCCATAAGTGAAGGTCATATTGAAGTCTTAAATCCATATTCCAGAACAGTCAGTTCTGAGCAGTTAAAGCAAATCCAGATGGCATCTGAGAGCACTGGTCACATTAATATTTTGCTGATTAAAAAGTACCAAATTTTAATTATAAAATGAGAAGCGTCAGAAATATGGACACTCCTGACTTCTGAGGTGGGAAAAACTATGGGTGCCAGAGTAGTTTACGTCAAGAAATATATGTATTTATTGCATTTTGTCACTTTATCTGCCATATGAAATAGTCTTTCCTATTAATTCTTTTCACCCCTGCCTTAACTACTACTTAGTGTTCACTTATTAATCATATTTAGCCTTCATATCACTGTCTTACCTGCTGAATCTCATGGATATATTCATATCAAATTTCCTTTCTAAAAGATGCTTTAAAGGAGTTATGAATGGCTACAAATGTGCTAATTTTTAGAGACATTTTATGAAAAATACCAGATTTATATGTATTTTACTGCAGTGTAAATGGACCATTAAACCCAACTTTAATGAAGTACTCCTATTAATGTTTTATATGTATGCAATATATGTAGATATTTGTAAGGAGTTTTAATTTTTTCCAGATGGGGTACTGTGTAAATCATGTATTTATAAATATGAGGGTACTGACAGATATACAGTTTTTTAAAAGGATTGTGTATTGACTAAACAAATTTTAAAAATATATATTTTGAAACTTGTTCCACATTAAGCAGAGATAACAAACCTTTTGTACTATGCAGTTTGGCTTTTAAGTTAATAAGCTTCCTAATGCATAATAAATCTACATCTTAAGCTTTCTAGGTTTCATGTGTAAGTGTGTGTTCTTCCGAGTTCACTACTGTGCCATCCCTGCTTCAGAACAGAAGTCGTTTAATCCTGGTGCTAGATTACAGTACCTGAATTCCTACTGTACTGTTGTGTTGTGTCATATCATCAAGCATGGTGAAAAGCATGCTCTGCTCAGAAATCTATTTGGTGTCTGACATGGTGTCCACTGGGGTAGGGAAGTGGAAAGAATGGAAGGAATTTGTTAAAAAAAAAAAAAAAAAAGGCATTGCTGATGTGAACAGTACTACAGAATTCAGATACTTCTGATGATGATGTTTAAGTGTTTTGTTTTACTTTGAATTACTTGGAATTCAAGCCTGGGCTTTTATGCTGGATATTTTATTTTTGCTGCAGGCTAGACTGCAGACAAATAGGTTTTGCATGATCCCAGTGTGGAATGTCCTAAACTTTATACAGAACTTAAGACTAACATACTGTATGATCTCTTAAAAGTGGCACATGTCAAATTTAGTACTGCTAATAATATTTCAGCAGTGGATCAAATGTGAATTTTTAAAGTAGAATCCTAGAATCACAGAATGGTTGGGATTAGAAGGGACCTTTAAAGATCACAGGGCAGGGACACCCTCCACTAGACCAGGTTGCCCAAAGCCCCATCCAACCTGGTCTTAAACACTTCCAGGGGGGGAAGTGCATCCACAGCCTCTCTGGGCAACCTGTTCCAGTGCCTCACCACCCTCATAGTGAAGAATTTTCTTCCTGACATCTAATCTAAATCGACCCTCCTTCAGCTTAAACCTATTACCCCTTGTCCTGTCACTACACTCCCTGATAAACAGTCCCTCACCAGCTTTCCTGTAGGCCCCTTCAGGTACTGGAAGGCCGCAATTAGATCTCCCTGGAGCCTTCTCTTCTCCAGGCTGAACAAGCCCAACTCTCTCAGCCTGTCCTCATAGGAGAGGTGCTCCAGCCCTCTGATCAGCATGCACCCATACTGTATATATTTATAAATTACATATATGTACTACTATACTAATAAAGTACATTATAAAAAATAGAAAAGGTGAGGTATAGTTTAAGTAAACAAATATTTTTGTTAGTGGTACTATTTTGCTCTCACTAGAAAATAGTAAGTGGTGCTGTGGAATATGCTTCATTATTTTTTAAAGTCTTGGTTTAACACTGTGATACAGAGATTGGAAGGTCTGGTTTGAAGTTCAATTTATTTTGATACTTGGTTTTAATGGCTGTCATTGCTGAGAAAGGTACCTCACAAAGATATATAGAGCCAAATGGAAGCAGTGCATTGCTGGCTGTGCTTACTAAATTGTGATGCTCATTTTTCAATCTTTCAATCCCACCCATTGATTATGCAAAGATGTTTGTTAAAATTCATCTAGTAAGTTTCCATCTACCCTGATGTCAATTCGTTGTTCTTGCAAGCTATCTGGAAGGTCCTGAATTTTTGTGATTTTTTTTTTTTTTTAACAATTCTATCGAAAACCCACAAAAACTCTTCATTTGGAAGATTTTTTAAACAGGTTAGAAATTTTTTTCCAAGTTAAAGTGTACAGGTATGAGAGTTTTTATAGGTGACACCTTGGTACCCCTTTTCACAAAATCATGTGATGATGGAAACATTTCCAAACTTCTCTTTTCAAGATTATCTCTCCATACAATGAGTTTCTTTAAAAAAAGCAGTATTTTCTGACTCATTGTTAAAACATCACAGATTAAATGTTTCTGTTTTTCTAAAATACTGGCCATAGTACTGACAGGCCCTTTTCATCACAGGAAAGGTCAGCAGATTTGGAACACTTGGCTGTCTTTCTGTGAAAGAAAAAAGCGTACTCATCTTTGACAACTCTTACAAGCACTCTATCACGAACCAGTGAACCTCTGTGATACAAGAGACTTTGATGGTCACTCCCCATCTCTTTCAAAATTATTGTGGATTCTAGTATTGAAAGGTCTTGATTTTATAAAATTAACAACATTTATGACATCCTGTAGCACTCTGTGCACTTCTGACTCCAACTTCTTTGCTGCAGGGGCTTGCCCATGAGTGATCCAGTGAATGAATTTCACTATTGCTGTAACCTCACCCTGGGATCCTTTTTTTATTCCAGTCAAAGCAGCTACTCGCTCCATCAGTGGTTACACTTGTGCAGTTTTTCCATAAACCATCATTTTTAATTAAACTGTTTACTGTTGCGAATATATCTTCTCTAGTAGTTATTAACAAAAAAGTTGTTCTTCATGTGTTTCATCATTTAAAAAAACCTAGCAAATACCATAAGCTGAGACATGTTAGGAACACCTGTACTTTCCTCCAATTGTATAGGAAACCTCCCACGCCCCATAACTTGCTCTAATACTTATTTCTTCAAATCTTCAGCAATATTTTCTATGAAATTTTGTAAAGTACTAGATTGAGTATCACTTGACTTGAAACATAGCTGAAAAAACTTGTAAAGGTTTCTCCTCACATCCTGGATGGTTAGTTTTTAAATGCCCTGCTAAGCCTTATGGCTTCATACTATTATTAGCTAACTCCTAAAGGCACAATATATGCTTAAACTGAGGTTCATTGTTAGTGGTAGTGGACGTAGCAGTTGTCTTGATAATTTAAGGTTTTTTTGGGCCAACTTTGTCAAATCTGATGCGATTGTCATTGATATTACTATGCAATGTGGTTGATGAAGGTTTCATACTAGGAGCAGAAGTGTCAGCTTTGCAGCTTTCTTGTTTGTTCACGCTTGTGTTACTAGTATTACCTTCAATGCACAGCATTTATTTTAGGAATCTTTTTAAGCCTCTTGGTCATGTTGTGAGCGTTAGTTTCATTACAACTAAATAATATAATCCATAGATCCACTTAACTGGGCACATGTAAACTGCAATATGTCACAATACACTGAAAAAGAACACATGAGGGAGGGTGCCACTGTCAACCTCCCTCTGCATTGTGAAGCTCCCACTCTTCCCCAAGGACACCTCGTGTACTCTCTACGTGATACATGACCGTTAGACACACGGACCGAATGAGAGTGCCAGTGTCAAGACACCTTAAATATTAGTAAAGCCTGATTTCTTTCTCACTTTTTAGATGAAAAATAAACACAAGTTCTAATATTTTCTTCCCCTTCCTTTCTTCCCCCCAATGGACTGCCATGCACACCCCAAGGTGTTTACGCATGCACACAGCTGGGAGACCACTGCTCCAGAGTATGTGTTATCGTAGTATAAGAGCATGCAATAACAGCAAGACAGAGGCTCACTTCCTCAGGGAGGTAATGGGCAGCTGCTGGTCTTTATTTGTATTGAGCTGTGCTTCCCTGATCCAGAGAAACAGAGTTCTCATTGTTCTGCTGCAATGAATCTATCTTCTTCTTTCAGGAGAAATCAAACATAGTCCTGCCCCCCAAAAAACAGGGAAGGGGAAGAAGGAAGGGAGATGAAAGACCTGGAAAACTATGCTTAGGCTGCTTGTTTCCTTTTCCTCTGTGCAGAGATTTTGTGCTGCTGTGTACATGCATTTGTCACAAAAGTATGATGCTACCATAATTGGATTATATCTACTGGGAGATCATA